CCCCCCCCCCCCCCCCGGCGTGAGTTATGGGACTTGTTGCCATGGTGAGGTCCTCCTCTGTGATTTGCGTAGTTAGCAGTGATCGGTGTTGCAGACACCGGAGCGCTCATGGTTTGGAGTTTAGCTTCGTGATTAATCATCTTCTCATGGAGTTCAGCAAGGGAGGGTGCTGTGTCACGGCTCTCAACCTGGTCCACCAGCGTTTTGTACTCATCAGGTAGACCCCCAAGGATCTTCTCAACTTGATCTTCAAGATCCATTGGTTTCCCAAGAAGCGCTAGTTGATCAAATCTCGTCGTTAGTCCTTGAAAGTAATCGTTGATGGACTTGCTTCCTTTAGACCAGTTATCGACTTGTTGTTTCAACTGCTTGATGTGGCCTCTGGTTGGCTTGGCATACGTTGCATTGAGTGTAGTCCAGATCTCGGCTGCGGTGTTGGTGGTCGAGAGTATCGGTTGAATGGAGGGGGTTATGGCACCTAAGAGACCACTGTATATCAGCTTGTCTTGGCGTTTCCATAGAGTGAACACAGGGTTGGGGACGATTCCGGCCTCCGTCGTAAGTGTGGCTGCAGGAATCTCAGTAGATCCGTCGACGTGACCTGCAAGGTCATAACCATCAAGTAACGCATGTACTTGACGGCTCCACATGAGAAAGTTGGAGGATGTGAGTTTTGTCACATTCATCATATTGATGTTGAGGATTGTAGAGTTGGGAGAGACAGTGATAGACTCGGTAGTGAATGTCTGTGTGTTGGAGCTTCCTGACATCGTAGTTGCAGGGAAGAAGAAAAACGAAAATTTGAAATATTTTGGTGGCGGCTTATTCTAGGTTTAAGACTGCTCTGATACCATATGTAATATAAGACTGAATGAATCTTTATTAACAATGTAGAAGAGTATATATACATCGTAGAGAGTAGGGTATTTAGAGTATTCTATTGTATTTACATAGAGGTCCTTCTAGTTATCTCTATTGTCCTATAACAGTCACCTACATTTTTAATGCTCCATCAAACCATGTGATCAAGTTGACAAACAAACATTATCATAAGGAATAGGAAACCAAAATTGTTTAGTTTGTTTCGTCATGTGTACCTCTTGACTGTGAGTTGAGCTTTGTAGGGAAACATTTAAAATTCTTCTAAACAGTACGATTATCAGTCTAACCAAAAAAAAAAAAAAAAGAGACAACGATATAATATTAGATAAGAAACTGTTTTTGCTAATACTTGTTCTTATTCATCTTCTCCCTCATAAACATCTTTCACGGCCCTTTGTAATCATGATTCTTCTCTTGCCATCATTACCTTCTAAAGGAGACTCTCTCTAAAGAAAATGCAAAACACAAACTTACAACAAACTTTCATCTATATAACACCTCTATATCTCTCCCACTAATCAAACACACCTCACTTCTTCTTCTTCCTCTCTCTAACTTCAAGCTCTGAAGATGTGTTTGATTTCTTCAGAACCATTCTCAGACACACCCACGAGACTAGTTTTGTACCTCAAAACACAAACCCATGTTCGTATCCCTCGCCTCTCCAGGTTTCAGTCTTTCCTCATCATACTGCTCTATGAAACTATCCGAGTCACTACAACGTTTTAATGGTGGTCTGTTTTATACTTTTTCAGGAGGAGAAAGATGTGGAAGGAAGAAAAGGAGATGGTGATGAACAATATAAGGCTTTACATGGAGAACCAACACATCATACAAGAGAACGAGAAACTTAGAAAGAAAGCTCTTATCCTTGACCAAGAAAACAAAGCCCTCCTCTCTCTGCTTCAGACCAAAAACGTTTCCCTTGTTCTATAAACAAAAAAATCATCACCAATCTAAGGGCTCTAAAACACAAAGCAGAGTCTTATTATCTAAAGGGTTTAGTATTACTTGGTTTACATCTAATCGTTTTTTAGTTTCATCTCTCATGTAATCTCTGTATGTGTATGGTACGTGAGACCAAAAGTCTCTTCTTCTTCCGACCGCAAAAACAAAACATAAAGTTGTTAACGAACAGAGACCAAAACAAGACCATATAATATATAGTTCATGAGTTTTTCATCCATCAGCTTACATAAACCAAACCATCTCTTCTTCATTAAAACACCAAACAAAGAAATCCCCAAAAACTCAAAAAGTATATGCTTAATATCGACCAATAAGGATAAAATCATCATCATCAAGAGCCTGAACATCTCTCTCACCCACAAAATGCTCTCTACCAATCTCCTTAACCATCTTCACAAACTCAAGCCTCTTAGCCAAAGGCAACGGCACATATGGTAACCTAAACACCGGCCTCGCCACTCCAAGCTGAGCCAAAGCAGTGTTGAGCCCAATAGGATTCGGCTCCTGAAACAGCCAACCCATCAAAGGCAAAAGCTTAGAGTTCAAAGCAGAGTTCCTACCTTCAAACATCAGTTTCCTCATCAAACCAGGAACTAAGTTACTAGTAACCGATATAACACCAGTTGCTCCATAATCCCATCTCGAATCATGACACTCATCATCATTCCCACTCCACACAACAACCCCACTCTCAGTGTACTCTTCAACCCTCTTGTTTCCAACACATTCCTTCACACCAGCTAAGTTAGGACTCTGAGACATCTTAAAAATAACACTAGGAGGTATGTCCTGCCCTGTCCTTCCTGGCACATTGTATATAATTGTCGGTCCCATATGCATAACAGACTGAAAATGAGCTATCATCCCGTCCATCGAAGTCTTCCCATAGTAAGGGTTGATGTGAAGAGCGGCGTGCATTCCGACAGCGAACCCTTGTTCTGTCGCGTGGATAGCTTCTCTTGTTGAGTTGCTTCCTGTGTTTCCAATAACTTTGATGCTTCCTCCAAAACAGTTGACGGTATGGCCTATGAGCATAATGTGCTCGTCCCAGCTCATTAGCTGTCCCTCACCGGTTGTACCACCAACAATGACACCTTCCACGCCGTTTTGGATCTGAATGTTTACTAAATCGTCATAGGCTTCGAGGTCGAATCTTCCGTCGGGGAGATAAGGTGTTTTGATGGCTGTGATCACCCTTAGCGCTTTTATGTCGTCTGTGTTTGTCCTGACAAAACAAAAAAGACATTCGAACGAAGAGTATAATATGAGATTCTTCTGATGAAAGTCTTATATCCTGCGTACCTGTTTTTAACCTCCAAGCTGCGCATAGGGAGGTGGAAGTTTGGTACAACAGCTGCTTTTGGAGAGACCCATCTCGAGCTTCTTCTGAGTTATAAACACATACAAATGCAAATTAGCTTGACTCAATAGGTAGAGCAAGAGGTGCTTAATGTCAAAATGTCCAGTAATCAATCCAAAGGACTCAGCTTTGGCCATACAAGAACAGGAATCACTTGATGTCATGTCTCAACGAACAGGTTATTGTCTAGAAACTATCATGCCTAACTTGGATTAATCAAAAAAAAATACAAACGCTACCTATCTACATATGCATTGAATCTAAAACATATAAAGAGAAGAAGAGAAGGAACCTCTTGTAGGCCTCGAAAGGCTTTGGACAGGGGAAGTGTACAACAGAGTCCAAAGAGCACAGGCCATAACCTTTTAAAGCAGCCATCTCTGAATCAACGACCCTAATTCCAACAATCAGTTAATAGTGTGAGTGTTTCAGATAGTAATCGTAGAGAGAATCGTTGGACGGAGAAGTGAATCGATAGAGATATGGTAATGGAGGCTTCTGAGCATAATGAGCGAAAGATTCCGATAAGGGGGAGGAGGAAGCGGCGAGAGATGTACGGATGAAGAAGAAGAAGAAACGAGACAGAGGAGGATGTATTTAAAATACAACGCAGCTGTTTTTAGGGTTCTCTTTTTTTTGTCTCTTTATCTCTTTGGCTCCTGAGATATTGCCACGTGGTCAACGACACGCACGCACAGAGATTATGGTCAACACTCTTGTAGCAGCCTTCTCGAAGACTTTTTAGCCCAAAAGGCCAAAACATTACGGGTCAAGGGGTCCATTGGATCTTTTAATTACTAATTTTAGGTTACGAATCCAGCATATTCGTATTATTATCATTTTTTTATATTCTTCTTAGCACATCCGTATTAACTCATGCAATGCACGTTCGAGTTCAAAACGATTTGTGATTGCTTCTCATAATAATATAGCTGTTTTCTTTAACAAACTGTTTATCTTTTGGGTGGGTCACTTTATGATTAGTCAAAAAGTCTCAAAAGTTCAAAAATAAGAACTCTCCCTTAAATTTCATTATAGGCCCAAAAATGAACCGCTAATGACCGAATGAAAACCTAAGAGATGGATAGGCCCAACTTAAAGCTGGAAGCCTGGATCATAGTTTACGAACTCAGGCAGGTCACAAAATTAAAAAATGGAATCTAGTTTGGTTCCATAAAGGAGTTTAACTCTAATAGATTTCATTGGTTCATAAGCTAACTTGTTTTCAAGATTTAATAGATAAACCTATTTTGGACATATGAAAGATATATATGTGCTTTCCTCACTCTCTCCCTTTTATTCTTTATAATCTTTTTGATCACTCATCTTTCTATATATTGTATATCTTTTGACCACTGCGTTAAGGAAACGAGCGAGGTTATGATATATGTCTCACTAAACACATGTAAACATAGACCCACTTCAGCTATAGTGTAATCATTGAATTGGAAAGTCAAAGAACATATACGTATGCGGTGTCTGTCTAATCACTCCTAATGCATACCAATATGAAATTTCAAATAAACCATAGCAAAAACATGGCACAAATTTTCAAAAGTTCTATAAAACAAAATGGTAATACAATACATATAATAAATGTATATATGTATTGTCAAAATGTGATTGTTACTGAAGTAAATACGTGATATCAAAATGATTAATTGGCATAATTTTTTTTTGCGCAGGCTACTCAATTTTTTTTTTTTAGAAAAGGTTTCAGGCTACTCGACTTATCCCTATCGCCACAATTTATGATTCATAGTAATCTTTCGAACATACAAATTACTGATCGACCATAGCTTATAAGAGCATGTCCATCAGTGGCATTTACAGAGTTCTATAAAAAATTTAAATATTAAAATAATTATACGAGGAAAAAGAGTGTCAAAAAAGGTTCTATACATAGTATTTTTAGCACTAGTTCTAAAATTTGTGCTGCTACATGTCATGATATAAATAGCTTATTATTTATAAACAAAATTACCTTTAATCAGAAACTTTTATTATGTTATGATATTATTATTTAATAATTTATATACTGATTTTTAGAATACTATTAGTGGTGTTCTAAGGTCAACTGCAACAGAAAATTTCAAGATAGATTCAACTTAATAAAAAAAAATCAGAAAAAAGTAAAAGTAAGTGAGAGAACATAGAACCAAGTCTCATTTAGTCTCGTTTAAGAACCTTTGTAAACATGTTTGATATTGCCTTTTACAGATGTCAATTTATAACTGCTTCACCTTAAAAAGAATAAACCAAAACTAAAATGTACAACAAAATATTGATATTAATTGATTAAAATACTCATTTGGGTATGTTACACCAGGATTAACCGTGATTCCTAAAGAGGTTCTTAGTATTTAATTGTAATTAAAATAAATGAAAAATAGAAAATACCTTAAGAGCTGATTCTTAATTAAGCGCCGGAAGAAGCAGATCTTGGGGACACGTGTTAGAAGAAGAAGAGTTTGGTTTTCTCCTTTCTTTCTTCCGAAGAATGAGTTCGACGATTCAGTTTCATTCCATCTTTTCCTTGGTTGATCTCTCCATGATTCACCACTCCAGCTACGTCGATATCTCACTACAAGAAAATTAAGAGTTTACTAGCAAATTTTACTAGGAAAATAATTACTCGTAAATTTATTACGAGATTATTTCGATTTTACGAGGAAAACAAGTATCCTCGTAAAGTCCTCGTACACGTACGAGAAAAATGTTTCCTCGTAAGACCGTAGTAAAATTACGAGAAAACTACGTGGCAAAAGACCATTTACTCGTAATCTCGTAGTAAATACTTTTCTCGTAAAGTCCTAGTAAAACTTTACTACGAAATTAAGAGGAAATGATATTTTACTTCAAATTAGCGAGGAACTTGATAGAAAATATCTAATTTAAATCTAAAACGTGTTTTGTACCTACCTTTCCTAGCAATTTCCTAGTAAATGCTCAGATTCTAAAATTTCTATAAGTACCCCCATTTGTGATTCATTTGAAACACACCAAAAAACAGCTTTAAGCTTGATCAAAGACAAAAAAAATGTATGGTCTGGGAAATATTTTCGAGTTGCGGAAGTGGATGTATTCACACAGAGATAATAACGAGAGAGTGACAAAAGAATTTCTTGAAGGGTTGGAGACGTTTATGCATCAAGCAGATTCTACACCACTCACGCAGGAAAGTGATAAGATGTTATGTCCTTGTCGGAAATGCTGCAATACAAAATTATGCCCTCGTGAAAAAGTTTGGAAACATTTAATAAATAGAGGTTTCATGCCATATTATTATATTTGGTATCAACATGGAGAAGATGCTAGTTGTAGGAATGAAGGTAGCAGTAGTAATAGCAATTTTCAGGTTGAACCGGTTGATCATTTGCGTAATGAAAATAGCTATCATCACCAAGAGGAACAAATGGTAAATTGTGATAGGGTTCATGATATGGTAGGTGATGCATTTGTAACTCATGATGATGATGAAGTTGAAGAACCTAACTTAGATGCAAAAAAGTTTTATGAAATGTTAGAAGCTGCGAATGAGCCAATTTACAATGGTTGTAGAGAAGGTCTCTCTAAATTTTCGTTGGCTGCTAGAATGATGAGTATTAAAACCGATCACAATCTACCTGAAAATTGTATGGATGCATGGGCAGACTTGTTTAAAGAGTATTTTTTAGAAGACAATGTGTCTGCTGAATCTTATTATCATATTCAGAAATTGGTATATAGTTTTGGGTTTCCCTCGAAGATGATAGACCTTTGCATCGACAACTGCATGATTTACTGGGGAGATGATGAGAAGTTAGAAGAATGTCGATTTTGTAAGAAGCCACGATTCAAACCGCAAGGTCGATGGCGTAATATGGTACCGTACCAAAAGATGTGGTACCTACTAATCACAGACATATTGAAAAGATTGTACCAATCTGAGGAGACTGCTGGAGGGATGAGATGGCACGCCGAGCATTCTCAGACGGATATAGAGATGACTCATCCATCAGATGCAAGAGTCTGGAAACATTTTAACAATGTACATCCACATTTCGCTAGCAATAGCCGGAATGTGTATCTTGGATTATGCACTGATGGATTTAGTCCATTTGGAATGTTAGGGAGACAATATTCATTGTGGCCGGTCTTTCTTACACCCTACAACCTACCACCGAAGATGTGCATGCGACGAGAGTTTCTATTCTTGACCATATTAATACCTGGTCCAAAGCATCCAAAAATATCTCTCGACGTTTTTCTACAACCACTGATAAAAGAGTTGAAAGATTTGTGGTCAACAGGGGTGAGGACATATGATTGTTCAACGAAAATAAATTTTATGATGCGAGCGATGCTTTTGTGGACCACAAGTGACTTTCCTGCATATGGGATGTTGTATGGGTGGACTACACATGGGAGATTAGCTTCTCCATATTGTAATGGAATGACAGATGCGTTTCAGTTAAAGCATGGTAGGAAAACTAGTTGGTTCGATTGTCACTGTCGATTTCTTCCCGTTTACCACCCATACCGAAGAAACAAAACATTTTTCAGGCACAAAAGGGTTGTCAGAGACACTCCTCCTCCATATTTAACTGGAGAACAAATCGAAGCGCAAATCGATTACTACGGTGCTCTAGAAACAACTCCTCGTGGTGGGAATTGGTATGTTCCCAGCAATATGCCTGATTCTTATGGTGTTAAGCACAATTGACACAAAAAGAGTATATTTTGGGAATTGCCATATTGGAAAGATCTTCTTTTGTGCCACAACCTCGATGTGATGCATATAGAGAAGAAAAGTTTTGAGAACATCGTGAACACTATATTGAATTTCCCAGGGAAGACGAAAGACAACGTAAATTCTCTATATAAACTCGAGCCATCCGATTTCTCTCATTTTTAGCAATCTTCTCTCTAAATTCTCTTAAGGTTGTCTCTATTTCCTAGTTAGGTGATTAGATTAGGGAATTTAGATTAGGTGGTTAGTTAGGGAATTTAGATTAGGTGGTTAGTTTAGGGAATTTAGATTATGTTAATTTAGTTTTTTTTTTTTAACTTTTTTTGTAAATGATAATAGTTTATTAATGTTTTAAATTTTTTTTTGAAATTTAGATGACTAAAAAGAGCAAGCTTGATAGGGCTAAGAGGCCTCTTTAGGGGAGTCATTACAGAGATATGTTCGGTCGTCAGCCTGGTCCTCACATAGGCGCATCGTCTTCTTCAGCTCCCGGTTCTTCGATTTCAGATGACTCTGTTCCCGAGACTCAGCTCACCGGTTTGATCCACCACCTCCTCCTCCTCCACCTCCTCCTCCTTCTCCACTGGTTGCCGGGGTTCATCCAGATTTGGAGGTGCCGCCAAACGCTCCATTTGCAGTGTACACGGTGGAGGATATTATGGCCATTCCAGGCAGAGAAGGGCTGCCTGAGTTAGATCATATCCGACGGGACGGCCACAATATATTATGGTATGTTTTAATTTTTAAAAAGTGTTTTTAATTTATTTCTTAATTAACCAAAAATTTACAAATTAATCTAATTAATGTTTTTATTTTGTTTCTTTCCAGGTTTGGCTTTGACGAATGTGTCGCTCAGAGCGT